CGAGAGAGATGGGCTGGCCCAGTCTATCGATCCCCTATGCGATCGCTACTTTTTTATTTTCAGCATGAGCTACTGTTCGCGAGAGAGATGGGCTGGCCCAGTCTATCGATCCCCTATGCGATCGCTAGACTGCTTGACGCAGAGAGCGTCACATAGGAGCTCCCCAACAAGAGCTCCCAGGCAAATCCTATTACCCCTAAAAAAAGGCAAATCCTAATTCAGCACTTGACGCATCGTTTTTTTTTTTTATATTTTGGCATCCTGGCGCACACCCCATCCATCCTAAGCTCGGCCCATTTTTTTTCCTTCTCATTGGCATGTCCATTTCGATTGGGGAAGCTTCTAGAAGCTTCCAGTTCCATTTTCTTTTTTTCTTTCTTTGGAATTTTCTTTTACCATTTTTCATTTTTATTTTCTCCTTTTCTGTTTTCTTTTTCTGTCAACATTTTTTTAAAATATGTAATCTAGTTTCCAAATTCGTGGACTTTTTTTAAAAGTACGAACGTTTTTCAAATGCATGACTTTATACAAATTCGTGAACCAATTTTCAGAATGTTAGAAGTTTTTTTCAGATTCATGGATTTTTTTCCTGAATTCACAAAAAGAATTCAAATGCATGCACATTTGGACATCCATGGTTTTGTTTTTCAAAATCCATGAACCTTCATATTTATGAATATTTTCCAAATCCATGGTTTGTTTTTTCAACAAAATCACGTTTACGAATTTTTCAAAAGTCAACAGGCGTAGCTGGGCCGGCCCAGTGCACGCGCATGAGCGCCGGTTGGCGTAGCTGGCCCCATAAGTTCCAATTAGGAGCTCTCGAGCTACGGGAGCAACTAATTAACGAACGCTCCTTCGGGAGCCTCGCAAGGATCAGCGCCATTTGGCGCGCTCTCAGCCATTTGCCACGTGTCGCGCTCTGGGGCACTCCCTCCAGATTTTGTTTTTTTATTTTTCCGCACGCGTTTTCGGCTTTTGAAACGGTTTTTTTCTGGTTTTTTTGACGTTTTGGTTTTCTACCGGTCTTCCCTAGCTTTTCGACCAAATTTTTTTTTTGAAAAGAATATTTTTTTTGCGCAAAAAAACACAATTTTTTCGCGAGAGTCATGGTTTTGTTTTACAGAGACGCACGGTTGTGCTTTCACGAGAGGCACGGCCGTGCCTCTTGGAAACGGAAAAAAAACGTGTTTTCTGTTTTTTTTCTTTCGTGAGAGGCACGATTTTGCTTCCGCGAGAGGCACGGTTGTGCTTTCGCGAATGCACGGGCGTGCCTCTTTCGGAAAGGGAAAAAATGCGTTTTCTATTTTTTTTTCGCGAGAAGCACGGTTTTGCTTCCGTGAGAGGCACAGGCATGCCTCTTTCGGGAAGGAAAAAAACACATTTTTTTTCTTTTTTTTTTCTTTTGCTAGAGGCACGGTTTTGCTTCTGCGAGAGGCACGGTTGTGCTTTCGCGAGAGGCACGGGTGTGCCTCTTTCGGAAAGGGAAAAAAACGCGTTTTCTATTTATTTATTTTTTCGCGAGAGGCACGATTTTGCTTCTGCGAGAGGCATGGTTGTACTTTTTGCGAGAGGCACGGGCGTGCCTTTTTCGGAAAGGAAAAAAAACGCGTTTTCTGTTTTTTTTTATTTTGCGAGAGGCACGGTTTTGCTTCTGCAGGAGGCACAGTTGTGATTTCGTCAGAGACACGGACGTGCCTTTTTCGGAAAGGAAAAAAAACCCGTGTTTCCGGTTCAGTTTTTTCGTCCAGTTTTTTTGTGAAAAAAAAGTTCGTCAAAACCTATCAACATGAGATCTAGTTTTGAAGATCTCGACGCGAGGAATCCAACGGCGAAAGCGGTTCAAGATTTGGACGCACGGTTTAAGAGATAAAACGTTTTGAATAAACGAATCGACGAAAAAAAGGGAAAACTCACAGGTTGCGACAAGTGGTGCACATGCAGCGCGCCACTTGTCGCAATTTGAAGAAAGTTGGAGTAATCTCCGCAAGGAGTACTCCTTAACTAGTGATTTCGTCGAGCTACGCCTAAAAAACAAAAACAAAGGAGGTCTCGAGCTCCTTCACACTGATGGTCTGATGCACACAAAGGAACTGCAGGTAACAAGCTTTCAGTTTCACGTCTGAGTAATAGATTCCCTCCGCGAGGCGTTGCCAATGGGTCATAAAAGGCCGGCTTCCTCCTCGGAAGAACTGACAAACTCTTCAAGAAAAACATACAAACTTTATTCAACTGACAAACTCTTTGTATAGCCTGGCACTTCAGAGAGTGAAACCTGGGAAATGAAAATCCAGAGACCCAAAGCGGTCCGTGCAGAAGCGAATGCAGATGCAGTCAACAGATCATCCCTAAAAAAAATGCAGTCAACGGATCATCCTAAAATAAAATGCAGTCAACGGATCTAGAGCCACGGCAGCATGGCTGCTCATGTTCGATGCTCCCCACCGGACAGACGCCAACCAGCCACCAAACAAAACCGCAACAAGCTTTGCGCCTCGCTCCAGAGGCTGGATGGATCACACATGCACAGCGGCACGCAACACAATCACACGGATCTTCAAACCTGGTAATCACAATCCACTGCTTGAGGCAATACAATATCAATACTCGAAAAGTTGGAATAAGCAGATGGGAGATTGGATTGGGACGACCAGTTTGTATTCAAAGATCACTTTGGGCTTATAGATGGAATGGACTAATAAAGACATTCCCACAGAGCACACGATTCGCTAACTAGTCAGGATTCAGATTTGGTGTAGGCGTGTAGCATAGTTTGGATCAGTGATATCATGACCTGACCAAACATCCTTCACCTCGGAATTTCCCGTATTTTTTTTAAAGGACCAGCAAAGGCTGGTGTTTCATTGATCATAAGCAGGGAGCAGATGACAAAGCGATAAAGGTGGAGATCCGAAGATCAAGGAAAGTAAGTAAGAAGAAGATCAGAGAAAAAGACAAAGTGCCACCAGGCACAGGCCGCTAGCCTACTCTCCCGGCGGGTCCCCGAAGGGGCTCTGAATTGACTTGATGTCGGCTTGTTGCCAGAGGCTTAGCCCTCTCCTGATCTCGTTGAGAATGTCTTCCACCTTGGCCTCTTTTGCCCTAAATATACAGTGGTTCCTCTCCTGCCAGATCTGCCAAAGGGCAAGCATTGCAAGGGACTTGATCGCTTTCCTATGAATTGGCGGCGTTGCATCTGACATAGCTTTGAACTTGTCCAGAGAGCTTATGTTCCTGATCCAGGATTCCTGGCCTAGTGCGCGCCAGCACTTCCATGTAGCAATGGAATTCCAGGTTGCCGTCGCAAGGGGGCAAAGCCAGAACAAATGCTCGGAGCTTTCCAGGTTGCGGAGGCATAACTGACAGAAGTAGTTGTTCGGCCATCCTCGCTGCTGCAACCTATCATTGCACCAAAGCCGGTTCTGGTGGAGCAGCCAGGCGAAGATCTTCAGCTTTGCAGGCGATCGGGTGCTCCAGATCAGCTCGCGAAACTGAGTCTGCATAGAACCCTGGAACTGGGCGCGGTAGGCTGAATGTGCAGTGTACTGCCCGGATGCTTCAATCTTCCAAGCGATCTGGTCTTGGCTGGCTTCCTGAAGGTGGTACGATTGCAGCCGGCGGTGCAAGTTGAGCACATCCTGTGCTATAGAGCCAACGTCGCCGTGCGCCAGGTCAGAAACCCAGCGGTCTTCGAGTAGTGTTGCTTTCTGTCTCGATACTGGTATTGGCGCAACCGGAGCTATGCTCGCCCTCCATACTGGTATTTGCCCGAGGCGGTGCTCCCTCGGGCAATTTCCCGTGCATGTTCATTGCGGCCTGCGGTGCTATGCTCCCTCGGGCAATTGATGCAACATCAGCGGAAGCAGAGACAATATCTGTTGAGGGCGAGCACCGGACAATGTTGCAAATGACGATTACGGAATAGTTAACTACTAGCATGATCTACGAACAATACAAGTAATGTACAGAATGTATAAGCGACCACATCAAAGTTAGGAATGATCAAAGTAATGATGAAGCTGACATAGGAGAATGCCGCGTGAAACTGTGGATATCCATCCAGCAAGAAACCGCAGTTTGCACATTGTAAAGCATGGTCAACTGAGCAGGAGCAGCTCAGTTTTAAGAAACGAGCTGTCACTGGCTAGCTAACCAGATGTCTCAGACAAAAGTATTTTTCAATGCCATCCTTCTATGAATCTATCCATGAAATAAAATGTCAACTATCACAAATAGCTTGTTCAAATAGATATACGCAGAAATTCCAACTGAGAAGCTGGGCATGGAAGCAATAGAAAAACTTGCAAAAAAAATACTCTCTCAACTGATAAGAACAGCTGTACATATGTGGCTGTGCAGGGAGCATATACCTTTGATGAGCCATTGACTTCAGTTTAGAAACTACCAATAGAAGTTAAGAGTACCAATGGTGCCTTCCATTGTGGAAAGTGGAAACAAATGGACAAACTGCCTTGTAAATTGTAATTGTAAGCAACACAATGTGGAGGCCATGTGCACCGGTGGACAGGGCGCCCACCCAAAAATAAAGAACATCCACTGCACAGGATTCATGGCGAGACATAGGGAAATGCTATATTCAGTACATTTCTCTCCCTGGCAATCATACAAGGAAGCACATGGGACCATGCCACGGTTAACCATCTATGATTGCCGGCTCCAGCTGGGCGCACATGGTTTCCAGGTAGTCTTGCTTCTACATTCCACTGGAGTGGACCATGGAGGCATGGACCAGAGCAGAAATAATCTAGTTCTAGACTTTACTACTTCTAGTCTGGCTGCACCTTTAAAATGACTTCAGTTTCACAGGTGCACACTTTGTTCCTTTCCTTTTTCCTCCAAATTTGAGATCAATGATGAGGCTAGATAATCTGTACTGAGATTTTATTCTTGTAATATCTAAGAGATGTGATCTTTTTTGAATTAGATACCTCATGGAATTACAATATGCAGCCGCGATTATATGGAGATGAGTACATACATCACTGTATTACCAAAATGGAGGCCACAATGCAGCTGCTCAGCAGCAGCACAAGCCATCCGGATTTTACCATATCCAACTTTTCACAATCATATAACCTACAAATATTGAATATCATACCTATGGACAATTTAGCTATGGCTAGGCATCCAAAAATAAAACACAGGAATATAACAACAAAGCTCCTATTCTCCAGGTCAACCTGCTTATCCCGAAATCGCTCATACTCAGATCTGCACACAACAGCATGATGATTCACAAAGTTATAATCGTCCCAAGCAATATCATGCTCTCTTAATACGCATGCAAATCCATGAAACTAAAGAATAGCAATACAAACCTGAGTATGAGATTATCCAGGACAAGTTGGTCTAACTGCGAGGAGGCAACTGACTTCCATGAAAGGATACTTTCAATATCTCTCGCCTGAAAACAGGAAATGCATAATAAGATAAGGTACAGAAATTAAGGGTAACAATAGCAGAAACAAAACACAAGTGCAGAAAGTTGCATACAAAGTCATTTTTGCTGCTCTGAAGCTCCTTCAACTCCAATTTTATCTTCTCCAAGAGTGCATCTTTGCTATCAATATCAGAATCGAAATCCTTAAAAATTTGTCCATATCTGCTGTTGAGTTCCTCTAGGTACCGCTCCAATACAGAAAAGCTCACATCAAGAGACTGAACTTTCTGCATCAGTATCTTAAGAACTGTATCTCCAGGAATTCTGCCAGCCTGAAGTGTCCTTGTCTCTACAATCTGATCATGAACACCATTCCTTGATGAATCTCCATTTGGCTTATCATCTTCTACCTCAAATTCATCTTCATCAAGGGGTTCCTGTGAGGAGTCTTTTCCACCACTAGGCTCCTTCAAAGGTGGTTGCTCAATTGGCTCCTTCGATTTGTCATCAGATTCAGCATTTCTATTCTCAACTGGGATCAAGTTCTCGAGCATCTTTTCCACAGCATCCATTCCGTACACCTCAAGCATACTCAGTGTACAATAGCTTGCAGAACCATAATGGCTTAGCAAATTGAACTTCAAGTACCTCGCCCACTTTGGCTCGGGAAATGTGAAACTCTGAGCATGCTTCGCATTTGCGACAGTGAATCTCCCAAGTGTTTCCCAGTTTTCTGTGGGATAAATAAGACTGCTCAGCATTTCAAATTCTTTTAAATTAGAAGAGTAATGCTCAAAATTTGCAATTGCAATGGTATCTACCAAGGTTTCTTCAGAAAGCTCTATGATGACATATTTTCCCTCAACGGAGCAAGGATTGCGGAGATACTTATCCTTATCTTTGTCTAGAATGTTGGAAGCGCCTTTGGCCTCCTTGTTAAAATCCAGAACCTTTGCCCCTTTAGCTGCCGAAGCATAATTGTACAACTGACCACTAGGTTCCCTTCGGTGGATCACATGACCAGTTTGACTAGAGGCATCCTTTCCCCTTTCAGCAATTGCTCTCGTCTTGAATTCATCAAGACCGGGAGGAACAATCCGTGCCAATCTTGCTGGTTTGGGAACATCTTCAGCATCCACCTTCTCCGCTGGATGAGCTACAGAGTCAATGTTTGTCAGATGAGGACTCTCACCCTGACCTTCTGACTGCTCGATTTGATCATCCTTGGCCAGAACTTCTTCCTCACCCCGACCTTCTGACAGGTGAATTTGATCATCCATGGTTAGAGTTTGTTCCTTGCCCTGACCTTCCGACAGCTCAATTCGATCATCCTCTATTAGAGCTTCCATGTCATCACTTTGGGTATCATCCTTGGGACACAGTTCATCTTCCTGCAGCACTGTCTCTTCTGAAAGCAAGACACTTGCATCAAGTTTTACACATGTGTCAGCAGACACTGCCAAATTCTCCTCATGCTCCTGGTGTACAACATCAGGACTAACAGAACCTTCATTCATTGTAGGCCCAGGCCCAGCAATGGGAATGGCAACAATAGGGTCTCCACCATCTGCAGAAATCAAATGAAGAAAATGTGATCCCAGTCAATACGGAACCAAATTTATTTAAAAACTGACAGGAGCGTTCAGTAAATCTAGGAGACAGAACACGACGTGGAAATTTCGGCAACGCATCTAACAACCAGCAGCCTGTGATCAGAGAGAGCCGCAACAACCGCATACGGATTACGGATCTAACCCTAACGGGGTTCGATCGCGCCTGCGCGGCACCACCGACAGCCACGGGCAATCCACCAAACATCTACCGATCGCCGCACCACGCAACCACCGCGCAGCACGGCACAGGATTAATCATAAGGTGAAACTTCGGAGTTCAGGGACGGAAGAGAGAAGAAGGCCCGGACCGTGCGTACCGCGTTGACCGTCGCCGTGGCCGACGAGCGAGTTGAGGATGAGGAGCGCGACCCAGGACGCAACGACGAGCGAGGCGGAGAAGCCGTAGAGCCGCCGCCTCCTCATCCCGGCGGCCGCGCCCGCGCTCTGCTCGTGCGCCTTGGCCGCCGCCTTCCTCTTCATGAGGTCTCTCCGCGACTTCTGCATTTCTCCCGGCCTCGCATCTGCGCGCCCCGCGGCACCGGGCAGCGCCCTTGGTTCGG